TCTGCGCAGTTCAAATTTGCACAAATTGTTTTTTACAGGTTTTTGCATCGTCTTTTTGTTCACTATAAGATTAGGAAAATTATAATTCGCTCTTTTTCATTAAGAACTATCTTAAAGAACGTCTCTACTGTTTGTTGACCAGCTTAGGCTTGATATAGTATTAATTGCAGCGCCTCGGCCGCAAGCGGCCTCGGCTTTAACGATCAGAATCATAGATTTTCAGTTCTAAGCTTGATCGAGGTTGTTTGCGTCGGGGACTCTAATTTATTGACTAATTTTTGGTTGTTTAAGCTTAGCCGAGGTTTGCGGCTACGGTTCTGCGATTTGTTAGCCAGATTTGGGTTGATATGGTATTAATTTCACAACCTCTGCCCAGGCGGCCTCGGCTTACTCAATCAAGATCATAGATTCTCAACTATAAGTCTAGCCGAGGTCGTTTGCGGCCGAGGTTGTACAATTTATTTACCAATTTTAGATTAATACGGTATTAACGCATTGCCTCGGCTGCAAACGGTCTCGGCTACTAAATTCATAGATTTTCGGCTCTAAGGTTATCCGAGAGTTTGCAAAATAATAAAGTTGAACTCAAAGTAATGAAACTATCAATTCAACTTTGTAGAAATTGAAATCGATTTGGTTTTTTCAAAGAACTAAAAAATGGCAAAAATATTTTTGTTTGATATTTTAGAGATGATAATAGCTACAGTGTAGTTCGAACTAAATTGATCAGAAAGTCTGCTGAACATGAATTATCTGAGTTTTGAATACAAAATATCAAAAATAATTTTATTTCTCTATTATTTAGTACTGATGTTGAAGAATACGATGCGATTCAAACTAAATTGACCAGAAATTCTCCTCAACCCAAAATTCTTTTGTAAAAATTGTTTTCTTTCGTTATTTGCTGCTGTCTGTAATGAAAAACACGATGCAACTCAAATTAAACAGACCAAATCATCTGCTCAGTTCAAATTTGTCAAACCACCAGTATTTATGGATTACCTAAAATCTATAAACTCATATATCGCCATAAATTCTCGTGTTGTAGAATCAATTACTTTTGATAAAGTTAAATCCCCAGGATATCTAAGTAAGTTTCACTGTGGAATTTCTATTTACGAGAGTGCCAGATAAAGAACATCATCCACGGCATAGAAGTATGTTCCAAGGCTAGTAGAGTATACATTTGTGATTTGGCAGCAAATTGCAGTTCCTAGACCACCTGAAACTCCAATTGAAACGGAAACTGCAAAACAGTTATCACTATACAGATGAGAACATGAACATGGACATACGAACAGGTATTTACAAGCTTCTTCCTACCACCAGCCACAACATATGAGGTTAGTAATCCAAGCGTTGTTCCAATGAGCAGAAAAGATATGCGATGGAGAGAATTTGAAGAAAGACGAAGGGTTTTTGAAAGATGTAATTCAGAAAAACGGGTATATTTGAGGGATATCCAGCAAGCCACCAAACGACGCAAGCAAAAGGAAGACACGGTAAGTATTGTATTAGCAGCATCGCCTGAAGAAGAACGATATCATGATATGATATAGTATGGTTAGCAAATTCCTAAAAATAACTAAAGACAAACTAAATCCATCAAAGGGAGCGGAAGACTATTGGCTATCATGCAGTTGTAGCCAAACTAGACGTAACATTGAGGATGGAGGTATACTGAACTTTCGGAAATCAGTTTGTAACCAGCCTACTATTTCTTCTACGTATAGTTAGAGTCTATCATATAGTTCGTTTGGTAGTGTTTTACATGCTACATTAATCTACCGGCTATTATACAGTTGTGGGCAAACAGAATGTAACATCGAGTATCGAAACAAGGAGCATGAAAGGGATTTCTGACTGAATAAGACCATGCTATCGACAGTTGTAGAGTATATAACCACACAGAGGGACACACGAAGATTTCGATAGGACCAAGGTGAGAACATGATTAGAAAAGACGGTTTGGAAATTAACCTTCTTTTTCCTCTTAGACCTGTCAGTTTCTTTATCTGCGATGTTTTTGGTCCGCCCATTCTTTTCACATGCCTGTACCATCTTGTTCATTCCTGGATGTTAGTGTTTTCTTTTGTCTTTTTTTCGTTTTGCCTAGGATAGTTTTTAAAGTTTTCATTTCAGCAACCCTCAGTATATTTTTTATCTTGTTGCTATCTTCATGGGGACTCTACTGTAGATCACAATGGGTGTTATGCCGATTAATACTTTGTTATTTTGGTATCTTGACTTTTTACTGTTCTAGCCGGGTTTTGACCGCATAGATAAATAGATGACTGCTAGATACCCCTACCTAGATATTTGATGGTGTTGGACTGTCTTCCATAACCAATATGCACCTGACTGGTTTTTTTTTTGGAAAATTTCATGTCATAACTATAGATATTGTCATATTGAGCTGTCGGGCTGACTAGTAGATAACCGCATCATTCTGCTCATCACAAAGTTGATCAGGAATGGACTTAAGGTATCTCCCTCTCTTATGTCTCCTGGTGTTACGATTTTTAAGGTTGTGTGTTCACCCGCTTTGATTGATTGGATTAATTTTATGATTTCATATGGTATTTCATTCTGTATTCAAGGTCCAATGATGCTACCTGTTGTACAATTTCATCTCATAATCGGAAGGTTGAACTTGATTCTCCTCGATTGTTCTTGGTGTTTCGATATTTGAGGTTGTGTACAAATTTTATGATTTGAAATGGAATTTGTTTTTGAAACAAAGGGTTTATTAAATTCTATTAATTTGTGCTTGTGGAACTTGATAAAAACAGCTTAATTGATAATTAGTAATTAGTTTTAATTGATTGTTGGTTAGTTTGTTTATGTATATATATTGTTAAATTTTAACCAATTTCGTCATTTGCAATATAACATCTGAAACGTGAAAGGCTTTGTCCAAAGACGTGTGGAAATATACGAAGGGATAGAGGTGATTATAAAAGATTGTTTGGAAATTAACCTATCAGTTTGTTTGTCTGCGATGTTGTTGGTTCGCCCATTCTTTTCACATGCCTGTACCATTCTGTTCATTACTGGAGGCCCCATTTCTGGATGTTAGTGTTTATTCTTTTGTCTTTTTTTCGTTTTGCCTAGGATAGCTTTTAAAGTTTTCATTTCAGCAACCCTCAGTATGTTTTTTATCTTGTTGCTATCTTCATGGGGGCTCTATACTGTAGATCATAATGGGTGTTATGCAGATTAATAATTTGTTGTTTTGCTATCTTCACTTTTTACTGTTCTAGCGGGGTCGTGACTGCAAAGATAGATAGATGATTGCTAGATACCCCTACCTAGATATTTGATGGTGTTGGATTGTCTTCCATAACCAATATGCACCTGACTGTTTTTTTTTGGAAACTTTCATGTCATAACTATAGATATTGTCATATTGAGCCGTCGGGCTGACTAGTAGATAACCGCATCATTCTGCTCATCACAAAGTTGATCAGGAATGGACTTAAGGTATCTATCTCTCTTATTTCTCCTGGTGTTACGATTTTTTAAGGTTGTGTGTTCATCCGCTTTGATTGATTGCATTAATTTTATGATTTGATATGGTATTTTATTCTGTATTCAAGATCCAATGATGCTATCTGTTGTACAATCTCATCTCACAATCAGAAGGTTGAAGTTGATTCTCCTTGATTGTTCTTGGTGTTTCGATATTTGAGGTTGTGTACAAATTTTATAATTTGAAATGGAATTTGTTTTTGAAACAAAGGGTTTATTAAATTCTATTGATTTGTGCTTGTGGAACTTGATAAAAACAGTTTAATTGATAATTATTAATTAGTATTAATTGATTATTGGTAAGTTTGTTTATGTATATATTGTTAAATTTTAACCAATTTCGTCATTTGCAATCTAGCGTCTGAAATGTGAAAGGCTTTGAAGAAAAAGGTATGGAAATATAAGAAGGGATAGAGGTTTAATAATTAATTAATGATGAAATTTCTTTTAAGATAAAATAAATAGCAAAAACGTGATAAAATAAAATAAACACACGTTGAAGAGAATCACCCTTAAAGTAAACAAAAAAATGTGGAGGAGGAGGCCGTTTCAAAGTGCCCTCCTTCTTTTTAAAAGGATAATAAAGTTGAACTCTCCGGGTCGGCAAGGCAAAACGACTAAATCGACGGAAAAGCGAGAGATGAAAATAAAAAGGGAAAAATAATAACTCTCACATGAATGGGAGATATGAATGGATCGTAGTAAACGTAGTAAAACTACAAAACAAATAAAAAGCTCCGACCACATTCCATCTGTATTGACTGTTCCATCTTTCATTGCCGTTCGGTTAATATTTCAACCGAGAGAAGGCGCTTTTTATCATTCCCCTCACGTATTTTATTGTTTAAATTCATTAATTCCTTTATTTTATTTTTAAATCCGACCAGATCCGATACGTTTTTAGTTACAAACCCGACAATCTACATTGAATGAAGTAGATTTAAATCCGCTTTTCATTCAGTGTTTGTAATGGAATTAATTTGAATTTAATGTTTTGTTTCGCATCGAATTAACTTTATACTTACCTAAAGGACGATTTTATTAATAAAAACAACCAAAAATTAATTTTTAGATAATTTTATTTTAATAATTCTTCTCAACTGGTACAAAAATATTAGAAAATGCACAATAGTCCAAGGACTTAAACCTACTAAACACGTACTTGGGCAAAAATCTAAACGGTCAAAGATCACATATTTGTAGTAGTATCTTTTTTGCATATCCCTATACACAGTACAACTATTTAATGAGGTAACTAGGTCTAAGGTTTTTTTTTTTAAATAAATCTTATTGGCAAATGAAACGAAATTAAAGAAATAAAAAAGAAAAGTGCACAGCCAAAATTTGGCACTATTCAAGCTATCATCTATACTTGAAAGCTTTACAAAAAAACCTGCATTTATTATAAACAAATTATAATTACTACTGTAAATTAAATTAAATTAAAGAGGTAACGACGCTATAATACATTAATTATATCGTATTTTTAAATACATACATTTTAATTAATAAATTTTTATCCGCCTTATCAACATCTTAAATATATCTAATTCTTTTTTTTTTAATTAACGAGACAATTATTTTTTATATTATCTAAATTGTACAACGATTTTTGTATTTTTATTTTTATTTTAATTTTAATTTTTACATTTATTTTTGTCGTTTGTCTTGTTTGATTAATCGTAAATTTTTATTTACGACTTACCTTTGGTTTTCTTTGTTCGCCGTTTTTCGGCACATTACCTGACTTGATATTACCCAAAATATGTCTTACTTGGGTTATTTGACTTGCCGTTACGTTGGGATCTTTCGCGGTTTCCAAGAATTTTAAAAAAATCTCCCCGCATTGGACGGCTTCCTCGTTCGAAACCGTTTTCTCCCCGTTCAACGAAACGATCGTGTTGTTATTGGTGACTTGAAATACCGATTCTAAAACCGATTCTAATTTTTTCCCGTGAATTTCTTCCTTTTCCTCTTCGATTTGTTGTTCGGGTTTGGTTAGTTCGTTAAAAAGAATTCCTTCGTCTTTTTTAATTATAATTTTTTCGACTTTTTTTTTTTCATCTTTATCAATATTTTTGTTATTTTCTTCAAACTTTTTTTCGTCGTCATTTTTCTCCGCGGGTTTTCCATTTTCATTAATTGGTTGAGAAAACATTGGAATTTCTTCAACGTTCCTTTGGTGGTATTCCATTTTTGATGGTTCCTCAAGTTTATCGATATGGTTTGAAGAAAAATCCATCGGTTCATCTTTGGGTGGTACTTGATTTGTTCTGGTTAATGATAAACTATCTGAAGAACTATCTTCATTCGAAGTACTCATATCGATGGGGCCTTCTTCATCGGTTCCGTAATATTCATTCAAATTTTGGCTGTTTAGACTTGTTCGGCTTCTTGGGCTGACACTTGCGCTTGAAGAGCCGCTTGAAGCAAATGGTTGAACGTAAGCGGTTGGGCTGTTAGATCTCCATGGGCATTTCGGTGTGTTTTGGTATTGAGGGGATAAAGAATATTTTGGTGTTTTAGCGACGGTTGTAGGGACTCCATTTGAGGAAGGGGTTTCGTTTAAATTGGCTAGATAACTCATTAAGAAAGGATTGGTTAAGTTTGAGGAAAAATTTCCAAAGGTTGATGAAGAAGTGGTTGGGGGGAAACTTGGGAGTGATGAAAGATAAAGAGAATTGCTTGATGTTTCGGTTAACGATGGTCGAAGACTATTTAAAAGGGATGTGTCAACAGTGCTGGTTGTTGAAGTTACTTGCGAGGTTGTAGCAATAAGAGGGGTATTAATTGAAGGTGTGGTATCCTGGGTTGAAGCAGCAACTGAAGCTTGCAACAACATTTGCATTTGTAAAGCCCAACCTTGCATGGCAGCGTCTAATCCTGAAGTTCCAATTGGTTGATTTAAGTACTCACTCACTCTACTCAAGCCGTATTCGGCTTTTAAACGGTTTAATTCGGCGAGGGTGGATGACGAATTTAAAGTTGACGTTGGAGAAATTGCCGACAATCTCCTCGATTTCTTTTTAGAACCGCCAGAAGAAAGAGATCTTCGTTTACCACTCGGGGATAATTTTAATGCGTCATCCGTATCGGGACTGCTCCGATTCGATTGATAATTAATCCTTAACGAATTCTTACACCATCCCCTTAAAGTTGATTCTGGAATTCCTAAATCCCGAGCGACGGAAGCTTTTGTTTCGCCGCCTTCTTTAACTCGCGTTATTGCAGCCAGTTTTTCTTGAGGATTGAGGATCTTCTTTTCGGGTTTTTCGGCCAATTTAGCACCGCCCATGTTTGGTGCGAAACCACCTCCGCAAAGATCCTCCAGAACGAATGATAATAAGAGCAACACAAGTGGAGAATTAAGTTCGCGAAAGCAAACACGTGGCCGGTTTGACGAAACTGTCTCTGTTTTTGTTTACAAACCGCAGCCGGTCACTTTGTTTGTTCTTCCACTTTTATTTTTCCCGTAACGGGCTTCTTCACTGTACAGCAAAACGTTTTTTCCAAGGTCACTATTAACCGAGATATATATCTCTACACGGAGATATGGAGAATGTTAGAAAGAGAGGAACGACCGACCGGCGAAAACGCGTTTTCTGTTTCGGCAAACTCACTCCGCTCCGGTCTACTACTACGCGACAAAATGAGAAACGAGAATCGCTGTGCTGCGACTTACGCTGACGACGACCTACGAACGAATGGTCGCGGTGATGCTACGCGGCAATTTAAGGGGGTGCCGCGAGGGCCCGCTGGTGGTGGAAGGACTTATTTCATTATCCTTTTGGACACGTGGCGTAGACCGGTCCAAAATAAGTGGACCGGTGCTTTAAAATCCGCACGATGGATGATAAGGGAGGAATTTTATAGGTGCTTTTTTTATTTCTTTTACTTCCTGTTTAGGGGCATTTAAATTCAGTACTTATTACTTAATAACTCTAACAACTTGAAGGAGAAAAAACTTGATTTTGCATTAAAGCCGAACAACCGATTTACAAATTATAATATTTCTTATAAATGGAGTATTCAATAAATCGTAAAATTAATACGAAACAAATCTGTTATTCTATGCCTATTGTAGCCCTCATATTCTAAGATGCACAAACAGAAGTACGTGAACAAAACAAAAAACAAAAAAAAGAGACTAGCGAATGAAAAATCACAAGCATATCTAGACTACAAATCTCAGCCGATAACATTTGAGGAGTATTAATTCATAAGAAATAGGATCAACAACAAAATTCAATACATGTGAAACTACTGCATAATAATTTGCTATGCGCACAATGCTGCTCTGTTGTCGACGGATGAAGATAACATACAGAGTTCAGCTAAACCCGAGCTTTATAAATACTCCAGAAACATTTTCAACCGGCAAAAATCAATTTCTTTCTCTATTTGTTATAAATGATGAAAAATAACATATAATCAAAATTAAATTGACAGGAAGTCTGTTGAACCCGAAATTTGCAAAAAATACACAAATAGCTAATTCTGCAAAGAACTAAGATGTGGTAAAAAAAGTTTTGTTTAATTACTTGTTGCTATATGTGATGAAAAATACGATGCAATTTAAATTAAACTGACCAAAACATCTGTTCAGTTCAAATTTGCAGAAATTAAAATAGAATTGGATTTTCAAAGAAATGAGAAATGACAAAAGTATTTTTTCCATGTTTGATATTTTAGATATAGTTCATTTTTTTTCTATAATACCTATCAAATTGTTGTAAAGTTGGCAAAATTAACAGAGTTTTGTTTTATCATGTTTTGAAATAAATATGTCACACTGACGTTTGAGCTTTCGTTATTCAAAAAGAAAAGGTACATAAAAAATGTTGTGGAGTGTTTATTTGCCATTTATTTACCTAGAAAAGGTATTTTGTTCTATTGAATTACTGTGTAGCACGTTTTTACAACAAATATGTACTTCGTTAAAATCGTATTTATCTAAAAATGTATTAGTATTTTAACCTCAACTATTTAGTTACTGAAAATGTTACTAAAAATCAGGAAAACAACATAAATTTTATAAGGGTCCTAGATAATACCAACAGAAACCCTAAAAAAATTACATTGACAAGTATTAAAATTAAACTTAATTCATCAGAAAGTCTGCTGAACCAGAATTTTGCAAAATTCCAGAAATATCCGTTTTTTAAGTACCTAATACAAAATTTCAAAAATAATTTTCTTTCTCTATTTTTTAGTATTAATGATGATGAGTATGATATAATTCAAACTAAAACCATCAGAAATTCTGTTCAATCTGAAATTCGCAAAAGTACCCAAAAAATATAATTCTCAAGAGAAATAGGAAGTGACAAAAATCGTTTTCTTTTATTTTTTGATGCTATATGTGATGAAAAATACGATACAATAAAATTAAACTGACCAAAACATCTGATTCGTTCAAATTTGCAAAAATTGAAATAGAATTGGTTTTTGAAAGAAATGAGAAATGGCAAAATTATTTTTCCCATGTTTGATATTTTAGATATGATGATGATTACAAAAATTCCAAAAATATCTGTTTTTTAAAGAAATATAAAATGTCAAAAATAATTTTACAGAAACTTTCATGGCTTTTGTTATAACTATAAATTTTGTCATATTGAGCTGTTGAGTTGACTAGTAAATAACTGCATCATCGGCGTAGCACACTTTACAAATCTTTTTCCTGGTCATTCTGGTCATTAGAAGATTGAGCAGGAATGGACTTAAGGATCTTGCTCTCTTATTTCTCCTGGAGTTACGATTTTTAAGGTTGTGTTTTCACCCGCTTTGATTGATTGGATTAATTTTATGTTTTGATATGGTATTCCATTCTGTATCCCAGATCCAATGATGCCACCTATTGTATACTCTCATCTATCAGAAGGTTGAATTCCTATTAATATTTTGGTCCAAAATAAGTGGACCGGTGCTTTAAAATTCGCACTATGGATGATAAGGGAGGAATTTTATAGGTGCTTTTTTTATTTCTTTTACTTCCTGTTTAGGGGCATTTAAATTCAGTACTTATTACTTAATAACTCTAACAACTTGAAGGAGAAAAAACTTGATTTTGCATTAAAGCCGAACAACCAATTTACAAATTATAATATTTCATATAAATGAAGTATTCAATAAATCGTAAAATTATATCTCATTATTATCTCATATGCTAAAATGCAAAAAACAGAAGTAGCTGATCAAAACAAGCACAAGACAAAAAGATTAGCGAATGAAAAAACACAAGTATATCTAGAGTACAAACCACAGTTGATAACATTTGTGGGGTATTAATTCAGAAGAAATAGGAAGATAACATACAGAGTTCAGCTCAACACGAGCTTTATAAACTTTCCAGAAAAATTTTTAAACGGCAGATATTAATTTCTTTCACTATTTGTTGCTATAAATGATGAAATATAGGAGACAATTAAAACCAAATTGATGAGAAATTCTGTTGAACACGAAATTTGTAAAAATACCCAAAAAGCTAATTCTGCAAAGAACTAAAATGTGGTAAAAAAAGTTTTGTTTAATTCTTTGTTGCTATATGTAATGAAAAATACGATGCAATTTAAATTAAATTGACCAAAACATCTAATAAGTTAAAATCTGCAAAAATTAAAATTGGTTTTTCAAAAAATAAGTACTTAATGACAAAACTATTTTTTGTCATGTGTGATATTTTACATATGATAATGACTACAATGCAGATAAAACTTAATAGATCAGAAAGTCTGCTGAACCAGAATTTTGCAAAAATTCCAGAAATATCTGTTTTTTAAAGAAATATAAAATGTCAAAAATAATTTTTCTCTGTTTCTTAGTATTAATGATGATGAGTATGATACAATTCAAACAAAAACATCAAAAATTCTGTTCAACCCGAAATTCACAAAAATACCCAAAAAGAATGATTCTCAAGAGAAATGGGATGTGGCAAAAATCATTTTCTGTTATTCTTTGATGCTAGATGTGATGAAAAATGTAATGCAATTTAAATTAAAGTGGCCAAAATTGGTTTTTGAAAGAAATGCGAAATGGCAGAACAATTTTTTCTTCTCGTAGATGATATTTTAAATATGATGTTATTATGATGAATTATTATTATTAATCAATTACTTTCTAATGATCAGTTTGGATTTAGGAAGGGCCGGCCAACCAGTGACGCCATTTCTGCTTGGTTGATGTGCTCTATTGATAAAAAATATTTCAGTGGGGCATGTTTCTATGATTTAACTAAGGCTTTCGGTTGTGTTTCTCACTTGACTGTCACAATTACAATACCCGAAATAAGAATGACAGCCGAACGGCTAGGGCGGGAGTTTTTTTGTCATGTGTAATATTTTAGATATGATGATGACTACAATGTAGATTAAACTAAATTGATCAGAAAATGTGCTGAACCCGAATTTTACAAAAATTCCAGAAATATCTGTTTTTTAAAGAAATATAAAATGTCAAAAATAATTTTACGGAAACTTTCATGGCTTTTGTCATAATTATAAATTTTGTCATATTGAGCTGTCGAATTGACTAGTAAATAACTGCATCATCGGCGTAGCACACTTTACAAATCTTTTTCCTGGTCAATCTGGTCATTAGAAGATTGAGCAGGAATGGACTTAAGGATCTTGCTCTCTTATTTCTCCTGGAGTTTTTAACGATTTTTAAGGTTGTGTTTTCACCCGCTTTGATTGAATGGATTAATTTTATGTTTTAATATGGTATTCCATTCTGTATCCCAGATCCAAGATACCACCTATTGTATAATCTCATCTATCAGAAAGTTGAATTCGTATTTAATATTTTGGTCCAAAATAAGTGGACCGGTGCTTGAAAATCCGCACGATGGATGATAAGGGAGGAATTTTATAGGTGCTTTTTTTATTTCTTTTACTTCCTGTTTAGGGGCATTTAAATTCAGTACTTATTACTTAATAACTCTAACAACTTGAAGGAGAAAAAACTTGATTTTGCATTAAAGTCGAACAACCGATTTACAAATTATAATATTTCTTATAAATGGAGTATTCAATAAATTGTAAAATTAATACGAAACAAATCTGTTATTCTATGCCTATTGTAGCCCTCATATTCTAAGATGCACAAACAAAAGTAGGTGAACAAAACAAAAAAACTAAAAAAAAGACTAGCGAAAAATCACAAGCATATCTAGACTACAAATCTCAGCCGATAACATTTGAGGAGTATTAATTCATAAGAAATAGGATCAACAACACAATTCAATACACGTGAAAAGAGTTTGATCAGTTGAAAGAGTCATCAATTGGAAAACGAACTACTGCATAATAATTTGCTATGCGCACAATGCTGCAACTTTTTTATTATGTCATAAACTCTCAAATTTTCCAACTGATTCTAAAAGCCTAGAACCTTTTGATTAGACGCATCGTTTTCGAGATATTTGCAAAAAGCTACAACCTCGATTTTGGAATGTTTTCATTAATCGTAGGTGCCTATGGAAACAAATTGTAAGTAGAGACAACCTGATAGAAAAACATTTCTAAATATCGAAAGACATTTACGTGAGACAGGAAATTTAAGACAGAAGTATGTAAATACCGGGAATCTGAGGTCAATTCGTACACCCCAACCAGAAGAAAACATTATGGATTTTGTGGCAGCAACAGTTTAGACATTTCAGAATATCCAAAGGTACGTCTTAGGATGTTCT